GCCACCTTAGGTGTACGTGGCTGGCGCCTTAGCCGGTTGAGCTATAGGCGCCGAGCCCAGGTCTAGGTTTAGAACCTGCCACCTCTGGCATATGGGGCCGGCGCCCTACTCTTTTGAGCCACAGGTACCATCCAATGCTTGGCTACTTTTTGGCTGTAGTTGTCATTGTTGTTTGGCAGGCCCAGGCTGGATCCAAACTCAACAGCTCTGGTGTATTTGGCTGGCACCCTAGCCGCTGAGCTACAGGTGCTGAGCTTCATTTATTTTTTCATCTGACATATTTATTGAATCTGTACTGTGTGCCAGGCATTGTTTTAAGTGTTTGAGGTACATCATTGAGCCAGACAAAAATCCTATCTTCCAGATGAGGCTAGGGGACCTATAACAAACAAGCAGTAAGTGAATTGTATAGCCTGTTAGAAGATAATACATTGGGGGGGAGGGGAGTAGCGATTAGGAAGTGGGGAGGGAAGGGAAGAGGAAGATTGCTGGGCAAAGATTTCAGAGTGCATAGCAGAAGGGTCAGTGGGCAAGGGTGCTGATTGTTAAATAGAGGGACAGGATGGGCCTTATTGAGGAAGTAACATTTAAGGAAAGATTTGAAGGTTAAGGAGTTATGTGGATAGTTGGGAGAAAAGTATTTTTGAGACAGAGGCCCAGAGGATCCTAGCATCGTCATGGACCATAGAAGTCAGTTGAGCGAGGGGGAAGAAGTGGGAGGTGGTGTTGGAGTAATGGGAGCACACCAGCCTGTTGTGCAGGGCTATATTGAAGGCTGTTCTTAGCATTTTAGCTTTTACTCATATAGGTAGCCACTGGAGGGTATGGAAGAGAGATTTGCATTATCTGATTGTTGTGTTCAGAACATATTAGGGGTAAGGGTAAGAGACAGATGAAAATGAGACTAGTTTGGAGGCTATGGCTGTAATCCAGGTGAGAGGTAACGGTGGCTTGGACTAGGAAGTCCAAGTGATAGAAGGGGTGAGGAATGGTTAGATTCTGACTATATTTTGAAGGGAGGGACAACAAGATTTCCTGGATGTTTTAGATATATGATGTGAAAGAGAAGAATCAAGGATGCTTCAAGGCTTTGACCTGAGTAACTGGACAGATGGAGTTGCCATCAATTGGAAAGGGGAGGGCTGAGCATGGTTGCTCACGCCTGTAATCCTGCCACTCTAGGAGGCCAAGGAGGCCGGATTGCCTGAGTTCAGGAGTTCAAGATCAGCTTGAGCAAGCGTGAGACCCCGTCTCTATTAAAAATAGAAAAAATTAGTTGGGTGTGGTGGTGTGTGCCTGTAGGCCCAGCTACTCAGGAGGCTAAGGCAAGAGGATCGCTTGAGTCCAGGAATTTGAGGTTAGGTTGCAGTGAGGTTTGACACCACTGAACTACTGTAGCCTCTGCAACAGAGGCAGACCTTGTCTCCAAAAAAAAAAAAAAAAAAAAGAAGAAGAAAGAAAAAAAATATTGATAAGGGGAACTCTCCAGGCAGAATGTCCAGAATGTCTCTGAGAAGTGATATGGAGTTCAGCAGGTTTGGTCATCATCCCCTTGTAAAGATGTCTGTGTGGCGGATGGATGTACAGCTCTGGGGTTTAGGGCAAATCTGGAATGCCTTTTTTTCCCCCCTAAACAGAGATAGGGCTGTGCTTGGTACCTCTACTGGAGAGCAGTGACACGAGGGATCATAGCTCACTGTAACCTCGAACTCCAGGCTCAAGAGCTTTCTCCCACCTCCCGCTGCCCGAGTGGCTATGATTACAGGAGTATGCCGCCATTCCCAGCTAATTTTTTTTTGCTTTTTTGTAGACTGGGTCTTGCTGTGTTGCCCAGGCTGGTCTTGAATTCCTGGCCTCAAGTGATCCTCTCTCTCTGGCCTCCCAAAGTGTAGGATTTTGCCGGGTTTTTTGTTTTTTAAAACTGACTTGGGGACTAGAATTTTTTTAAGTCCTCAGTATTTGGATGGAATTTAAAACTGTGAAACTGAATGGGATCACCAAAGTCACTAGTTGTCCATAAGAAAGTAATATAGTAGGGGGTGAGGGAGGGAAGGAGGCAAGGATGGAAACAGGGAAACTGGTTAGAAGGATATTAGAGTGATGCATAGGTGAGTTCAATTTCAAGGGTCTGGGGAAAAGAGCAGGAATCAAAGGAAGCTAAGAAGGGGTGACTGAGATGGGAAAGCCACAGGTGTGTGGAGTCAGTGAGCAGAGTTACCAGGCAGAGCCAGTTATGGGTGAACTCCGTCAGACGTTGCTGACAGTTCAGAACAGTTAAACACAAAACTACACTGAAATTCAAACTGATTTACTAGAGTATACTAGTATACTCTTAAAAAAAGTATACTGCTAAGTTCAAGTCTAGAAACACTGCTTACGGAATTGACTGTTACTTTACAGGGTTCCTTTTGAGTTCAGGATACTTAAACTGCCTTGTCGTGCGGTCCCCTGTGATGTGTTTTCACTGACATGTAAGTGCTTCCATAGGCGCACCACTTGTTTGTTAGCTCTGCCTCAGCTTCTCTCTAGCCTGCCCGACTTGGAGCCAGTGTGACCGTGATTGTGAACAGGGTCATTTCATTGTGTGGCTAACAGGTAGATTTAGGTGATTTAGAATATGCTAATACTGTGTTTTTTTAGATTATTAAAAACATGAAGATGAGATATTAAGTTCTTGTAGAGAACTGTGAATTCCTTAGGAATAGAATCTTTTTTTTTTTTTTTTTTTTTTTTTTTTTTGGTTGCAGCCATCATTGTTGTTTGACGGGTCCAGGCTGGGGATTCGAACCCGCCACCTTAGGTGTACGTGGCTGGCGCCTTAGCCGGTTGAGCTATAGGCGCCGAGCCAGGAATAGAATTTTAATTTAAGGAAAACAGAAAATGAATATAAGTTGATAATTCACGAGATTTTTTTGCCTTTTTTTTTTTTTTTTTCCCTCAAGACAGAGTCTTGCTCTGTTCCTTAAGAGTGAGGTGGCACCATCATAGCTCATTAGAGGCTCAAATTCCTGGGCTCAAGTGATCCTCCTACCTCAGTCTCTTAAGTATCTGAGTATCTGAGACTATAGGTGTATGCCACCACGTCCAGCTAATTTTTACTTTTTTTTTTTTTTTTTAAGAGATGCTTGCTCTATGGCTGGTGTCAAACTCCTGCCCTCAAGGGATGCTCTGTCGTACTAACACCTCAGCCTCCCAAAGTTTTGGGGTTTACAGTCTAATATCAATGGGAGGGATCAAGGACTGACCCCACCTTGCACATTCTGTCCTGCTTAAACAGATATACAAAGAACCTTCTGTGGGGTCAATTCCTGAAACCCTAATACCCCCCCCCCCAATTGGTATGCAATTGTTTAAAGGCATGTACCACCATACCTGGCTCCCTTTGTTGAAATAACTAAAATGGTTTGGTTAGAGTTTTAGCTATAGACCGTTTTAGATGCTTATATAAACAGATTACAGCTACCTCAGCTGAATATAATTTTATTTTACTTTTTTTTGAGGCAGTCTCACTTTATTGCTCTCAGTAAGAGTGCCGCGGCATCACAGCTCACAGCAACCTCCAACTCCTGGGCTTAGGTCTCTTGCCGCAGCCTCCCAAGTAGCTGAGACCACAGGTGCCTGCCACAAAGCCTGGCCTTTTTTTTGTTTGGCTGGGGCTGGGTTTTAACCCGCCGCCCTCAGTATATGGGGCCGGCACCCTACTTAGCCACAGATACCACTCTATTTTACTTTTTTAATTCAACACTATATAAGCACAAAACAGTTTACTTCTAGTAAGGCTCCATTATTTTTATTTATTTTTTAGAGATGGAGTCTCACTTTGTCACCCTTGGTAGAGTGCTTTGGCATCACGGCTCACAGCAACCTCCAGCTCTTGGTCTTAGGTGATTCTCTTAGCTCAGCCTCCTGAGTAGATGGGACTACATACAGGCACCCACAACGCCGGGCTGTTTTTGTTGTTGCACTGTGGCTAGGGCTGGGTTTGAACCCGCCACCCTCTGTATATGTAGCCATTGACCTACTCACTGAGCCACAGGTGCTGCCCTTTATTTTTTATTTATTTATTTTTTTTGAGATAGTCTCAGTCTCACTATGTCACCCTCGGTAGAATACTGTGGCATCATAGTTCACAGCAACCTCAAACTCTTGGGCTTAAGCGATTCTCTTGTTTCAGCCTCCCAGTAGCTGGGATTACAGGCGCCTGTCACACACCCAGCCATTTTTTGTTGCAGTTGTCATTGTTGTTTTAGCTGGCCTGGGCTGGCTTTGAACCCACCAGCCTCGGTTTATGTGGCTGGCACTGTAACCACTGTGCTATGGGTGCCGAGCCTGATGACATAGTTTAAATAACTTAATTTCATGTGTGTTGCCAAGAAATTTTAAGATTATTTTAAAGCTTAGATTGATATCAGAGTCTACCATTTTGATAGAACATAAAGATTTAATATAAAGAATTTAATAGAATTTTGGATTTTCTGGACCAATTTTTGAACATTGAAAAGATACTTAGGTGCTAAATTAAGTATTCTATACCAGGTTGAACAGAGTGTGCGTACTGTTTTTCAGGGTTATTTAAGAGAAGATAAGCTTTTGAAACATACAGTCTGACTCTGCTCTTATTCTTGAGGTTTCTGATCTTCAGTGTCCTTACCTGTAAACTGGGAGAAAGCCTACTGTGTGAAGGTAAGTAGTGGGTGTGATGCTGCTGCCAGCACAGGGCCTTGCAGGTTGGGAGGGGCCCGGTTAGTTTAGCATCTTCCACAGCAAACTTTATCAGTTCTTAGAGGCAATTTCAAATGAAGACTGTGAAAATAAACAAATTCCGTAGAAGCAACAGTTTCTAGTTTGGTCCTAATGTGTGATCCAGGTCTTTTTACTTAGTGATTGGTGTAGGATTTCTAGTGTGGCTCTAAGTATACCACTAAGTCACTTTCTCAGCAGTATATGAATGCTCCCATTACAGGCAGTCCCAGAGTTACATAGACCCAATAACATCCGACTTGCACTTACAAACGTAGGCTAATACTGGTAATAGGTGAATGGACCTGTTCTGACTTACATATAAATTCAACTTAAGAACAAACCTATAGAACCTATTTCATTCATAACCCAGGGACTGTACTTGATTTCAGTTAATGTCTGAAATGTTGGTGGTAGTTCTATTGTTTCATAAATGAGAAGCCTGAGATCTAGGAGATTGTAATTTTGCCTAGGACAAAAATAAGAACTAAAAGCAGAACTTCAGGTTTGAGCTTCCAGCCCAATTCAGGATATGCATAGCAGCTTTTTTTGAGGTATATTACTAACACAAGTGATTACTGTCTAGGGGTTGGTAGTTATGAAACTCTTACAAAATGAGAAGCTTTATGAAAACTGAGAGATTGGTATGGAAATATATCCATCTTTAAAAAATTGTGTTTATGGTGATAAAATGATATACAGTGTTATTTTAAAGTGAATTTTAAATTTCAGTTGTGAATGTTTTTAAGGTCATACCAAGCAACAAGTACATTCTGCTTGCAGGGATTATCTGGGATGAGTGAGTTGTAGTTGTGTAGACGCTGTTCTCTCTGCTTGGTTAGAATCCTTTATGCTGTTGTACTTGATTTAATTGTTCCTTCCAGAAATTTTTTAGTACCTGCTCTGTGCCTAAGTACTCTCACAGGTTCTGGAGATACAAGAGTGGGTGAAAAAATGGGATCTATTCTCAGGAAGTTTATGTTCTAGGGCACAAGTTCTCGAAAGTGTGGTTCATAAATCCTGGGAGTTTTCAACATTTTTGAGGCCCAAACTTTTTCAGAATGGGACATGAGAATACAGTGGAGTTTCCCAGAGACTTCATGACGTGTGACATTGCAACATATTACATGCAGAAGCAGATAACGAGAATCCAACATAATTTTTTTTTTTTTTGAGACAGAGTCTCAATTTATCACCCTTGGTAGAGTGCTGTGACATAACAGCTCACAGCAACCTCCAACTCCTAGGTTTAGGAGATTCTCTTGCCTCAGCCTTCCGAGTAGCTGAGACTACAGGCGCCCACCACAAGGCCCAGCTATTTTTTTTGTTGTTGTTGTTGCAGTTTGGCCCAGGCCGGGTTTGAACCTGCCACCCTTGGCATGTGGGGCCAGTGCCCTGCTCGCTGAGCCACAGGTGCCGCCTTTGGCTTGAATTTTTAATATGGTAAATATCAGTATATATAAATCATATAAGCAAAAGCTCTTTGATGTTCTGAGTAATTTTTTAACAAGTGTCAACCAATAAAGGCAAGCTTTCTTAAAGGACCAGTTAGGCTTAAAGGGTTTAGAAGTCATAGGGTCAGCTATTCAGCTTCTACTCTTATACATGAAAGCAGGGGCAATATGTAAATATGAATGAGCTTAATTGTGTTTCAGTAAAACTATTGACATAGTTTGCTAATCACTGATGTAGGGTTTCTGATAATAAAAAGTTTGAGGCTCGGCGCCTATAGCTCAACCGGC